AAAAAAAAAAAAAAAAAAAAATCAACCAAATAATGAAATAGCAATCTTTAATATTTCCTTCCAATTTTAATCCTATTTATTTCATTCCCTTATTCCTTTACCTTATAAATAGAGCTTCATTCACTCATCTTCATGACAATTTCGAAAACAAAACAAAACAAAAAACCAAAACAAAAAAAAAAAAATCTAATCTAATCTCCATCGATGGCGCCAATTTTGTACTTTCTCTTCTCACTAATCCTTTCGAACTCCGCTTTTGCAGCAAATACTAGAATGCCTTTGTTGCCCGAAAACCATAAGGAACATTGTTCGGACCCGAATCTCTGCCCGCCTCCGCCACCTCATCATAAAAAACATTGCAAAGATCCGCCTCCGCCTCCGGATGGTTCCGGAGTTATCTATCCGCCGCCCGGCATCTGCCCGCCCGGTGTTTTATGCCCCGAAATCTGCCCGCCCGGTGCTATATGCGGTTTGCCGCCACCTCGACGCCCGACCTCGACTGCGTCGCCTTCTATGACTTTCGCGTCGTTTTACACCGTTTTTTCTTTCGTTTTGACGTATTTTGTTTTGTAGTCTGCCTTTCGTGACTAGCAGCTCAATAGTTTGTTTTGATCCGCCAAAAAATTAATTTTTGAATATTTATTTTGAATATTAGATTGGTTTTGATAATTAGGTATGCATGTTCTAGTGAAGTTTAATTTCATCATTAGTTATGAGATGTAATTTTCCTTTTTTCTTTTCTTACAATATATTTAAATAATTGTTTGCCTTTTCTTCTCTAGCTTTCTTAGATGCTATATTGAGTGAAATAACAAGTAAAAGGCACAGTTTATTTGTATGTTTAATTAATACGTTATGTTTTAACAATGTCTTACACTTTACTATACTCGTCCAAACGGCGGACCGATTGGACAAAAGTATGTTATGAATATAAAATTTCGTGTTTTATAGTTTAATGCAATTAGTTAATCTCTTGTAGCTTTCGTGTTTTTGTATCTAAACCAACACATATTCTTGTGGAGTTTTTAAATCTATATTTTTTTATTTGGTACATAGATGAAGGCCATAGGCCTGAAACTACTATACTGTAACGTGACGTGGGTAAGCCTTTAAAATAAGTGATTTGGTCTTTCAATCCATATATTTTAAGGGTCAGTATATAGTCATTCTTGATAAAATCAAAGGCTTTCCAATAATTCAATTAGCACATTATTTTGTTTGGTTTAAAATTAAACTAGTTTTTGATCCGTGCACATGCACGGAAAAATATACGATAGAAGAAGAAATAAAAAAAGAAAACAATTGTAAAATTCATAACATGATCGTTGAGAAAAAAGTGAACCAATAAAATCTAAACCTAAATATTATTAAAAATTTCTTTATATACAACGTTCGTGGTTTTCCTATCGTCAAAATCTCCATCACCACAAATCATTATCTTCAGACCCCTCTGATTCGTGACTCTAGATAGTGCCACATACAACTGTCCATGACTGAATACAGGGTTCTTCAATAGTAATCCGACGTGGGACAGTGATTGACCTTGGCTTTTGTTGATAGTCATAGCATATGAGACCATGAGCGGAAATTGTCTACGTTGAAATTTGAACGGTACCCTCAAATCAGATGGTATGATTGTGAGCCTAGGAATAAGAACCTTGTCACCGGCTCTGGCACCGGTTAAAATTTTACATTCGAGGACATGGCTGCTGAGCTTAGTGATAACCAACCGTGTACCTGATGACATCAAAACTCGGAAAACAAAATCATATAACTCAAAAATGTACAAAGATAAAACAAAATGTAGATGACAAATTGAATTTTGATGAACAGTACCGTTGCACAACTCCATGGAGTGATCAATGTTTCTGAGAAGCATCACTGGAGTGCCGACCTTGAGATGGAGTTTATGATTCGGAAGGCCAGAGCACTTGATCCCATTGAGAAACTCAGGAGCGTGAAGATCCTGAAGAGAATCATATCCAGCATCTGACTTGCACAGGGTGTCTGAACTCAAGTAAGTCCTTCCCTCGGATGAGTTCAGTGAGCTCATGTACTCGTTAATGGACTCAACCACATCAAGTGTGGGAGCGAGTATGGCTCTGTCCTTCAGATAGCTAAGATCGTCACCTGCACTCCTGAACATGGGGTAGGTACTCTCAACAGTAGTACCAATAGGATCACCTTGTGAGTGTAGAAGAAAATCGTCGGGGATGTCGATATCGGCACAACCGTCGTTCGATTCACCGACTGTACCGTCGCTGATGTTTGCAAGTCACTCAGAGGAGTTCCTCAACTCATCGTACTCATCGCTCCCACCAAGGCTTCGAAGCCTCATATTGCGAGTAAGTCTCAGAACGATACAATCGCGCCACAACTTGGATGAATTGATGGTCGCATTAACTATGTCACTTCGACTGCCTTTAGGGACAACGGGGAGTATCTGTCTGAAATCCCCACCTAACACAACACACTTGCCGCCAAATGGGAGATTTTTCCTCGATGGATCAACTGCTTCCATTAAGGCTCGCAAGGTGTTGTCAACCGCCTGGAAGCAATATTTGTTCATCATCGGGGCTTCATCCCAAATGATCAACGGACATCTTATGATCAGTTCGGCCAAAAGACTCTGCTGGCTAATATCACATGTAGAACCTTCCATTGGGTTTAGTGGGATTTTGAATCGTGAATGAGCAGTGCGTCCGCCGGGAAGCAAAAGTGATGCAATACCGCTCGATGCAACGTTCAACACAATTTCACCTTTGGATCTCAAAGCAGAAGACAACGCCCTCCAGACATATGTTTTTTCAGTGCCGCCGTAACCATAAACGAAAAATATGCGACTGTAGGTACGGTAAACAGAGTCCATTACCGAGTCATAAACATTGCGCTGCTCATCAGTCATATTGGCAACCAACTCCTGATTCTCAGTAGCGAGTGCACGACGATCGTAATTCAACTGGTCCATCACCAATCTGTTCGTGGATGCCTCATTACGATCGAGATTAGGAAAAGGCTGTACCGTATTCGCGTAGGCTCGCACCACGTCTGCGCAAAATTTTTTCAACCTCCGCCAATGCCAGATTCTTTACTTCATCATCGCTCAAAACCAATTCTGTAACAACAATATAGAAAGTTTATAAATATAAAGATGTAAGAGAAAAAGAAAAAACCATGTATGTGACAGTAAGAGAATCGTTTACCTGGGTGCTGTAAAACCCTCCGACGATTATATAATATATCATCCGATAGGTAAGTCCAACATGATTTCCACACGAACTCCGGTCTACCGAGAGTATCAGAAGACAACAAAGTAGCAAAAAGGTTTCTCAACGAATTGGCACTCGACCACTGGCTTGCCTCGATAATCCCTTCAATGCATTCTTTGTCGTCCTCAACAAGACCGAGGGTATAACACGCATCACGATAAGAATCGTGTTGTACTCCGTCCAACTTCATATAGTCACTATGGCACGTTGCACCTCGAACAACGTTGAGAAGACACCTCAAGTAATATATGTCACCAGCACCAGGGGGGACGAAGTACAAACGCGTGATTCGGTCACTTCCTTTCCTAGGCTCCCAACTGTTGGTTTCTGTGTGCCACGTAAATTTGGTGGGAGCCTCAACGTACGTCAGTTTCCTAGCTTCGGGATACTTCTTGTTAGCTTCCATCCAAGCTAAGAATTTGCTGGCGGCATTTTTTTTTTTGTTAACCACTTCATCGATCGGAACTTCATCGTTATAGTAGCATGGATGCTCGTTCTCGAGGTGGAAATTCAAGCGCTCCACTGATGGGTGCTTGTATTGAATCTCATAATCCAACAACCGCCACGCAGCCTCACAAGATGAAACGTATCGACAATCATAGTACATCTTCACCTCGTCAACTGGCCTGCTTGAGGACTCATCTCAATTGGACGCATGGAAGGTGGCAGTAACACGATCGTTCCCCTTGTTCACGTACTTGAACAAATATTTGATCGACCTCGACTGGTTGCACCACTCCATATTTATGTGCGCGCCGTACTTCATGAGCAATTTTCTGTTATGAGGCACAACGTATCTGTTATCCAAGGGAATGCCATTCTTTTCTATGGTCCTGCCATTATCACGACGTCTATATCGTGGATAGCCTTCTTCGTCGAGAGTCGTGGTTTCAGAGAACTTTTTAGGAAAATGTTTTGTGCAACAATCATTCGCCATACACGAAGATTTCGGGCGAACACTTCCACAGGGGCCGTGCATCATATGATCTCTAACAGCGGCATAGTAAAATAGATCTGTGGCCTCATCCGGTATTTCAGCAGAGATTATTTTATCTATGCCATCAGTAGTATGTATCTTGTATTCCTTGGAAAGGAAAAGCAAGATATGCGCATGTGGAAGGCCACGTTTCTGGAATTCAATCGTGTAGATTGCTGTAGTAGATTCATACATAGGTAAAAAATAATACAATGCGAAACATGTAATAAAAAATATAAATAAATCACTTAAAAAATAGTTTGAAAAAATACCTGCATTCACCTCTCCAAACATCTTGTTATGTTGAACATCCCTCATCAATGCATCCAACTTGGTCTTAAACACCCGACAAATTATATCAGGATGATCCTCTGGGTTGAGGTTCTTCTCAGCAAGAAAACGACTGATTTCGGGCCACTTTGGATTGCAAGTGAAGGTTATGAAAATGTCAGGATAACCGGTCCAACGACAAATGGCCATTGCATCCTGATAGTTCTGAATCATATATGTTGGGCCACCCGTAAAGGATGATGGAATTATAATTCGTTTGCCTTGAGAACCAGGATCTGTGTCACCGCGCAACACAGCGTTGGATAGCCTGTTGTACAATTCTGTTCTCAAAGTTCTTCTGATTAAAACGGATGTACCTGAGCCGAAATCCCTCTACCATTGTATAAGCGTCCACAACAAACTGCTGAAACAACCTCCGAGCAGAAAGAATTGACGACAATTCGTCGTCCCGATCGTGCATTCGATATTTGAAGAACTCATTAGGGCTGATAAATTTTCTTGACCTCTTCGTGATCGATTTTAGGCAAGAGAACGGAATGTCTTCCCTATAACCATCCTCGCCATATGGAAAAAGAATAGGATAATAGAGAGCCAAGTAGGCAGCGTTCAACTCGTTGATCCGCTGCAGACGTCCGCTCCGATTTTCTACTATAATATCTCTGCTGCCCATAGCATCATCAAAATCCCCAACAACTAAGGCGGCAACTTCAGAACTGGAGGGTAAATTATAACGCCGACCATCCTTGTTCCTTCTACCGATAAGACGCATCTTAAGTTCAATTTGCTGGTCCTGGTTAACGGTCTCTCGCGCCATCCTGAACGACTTGACCAAAACATTGTAATGATCGAGTAGATCCTTTAAACCACGAACTACATCCTCATCTAGGTTATTTCTATCAGAACCTCTCCTGACATAAATAACAAATTATATTGAATTAGTAAAGATAATGTAAAACGAAATGAAGACAAACTAAGTACTCAATTTTGATTGCTAAAAATATAATATATATATATATATATATATACCTCACAGAAGA